GCACCCGCTTTTCCTATGCCGGGAAGCCCGTGGGGGCCCGGCGGTCCTTGTGGCCCAGGTATCCCCATGGGCCCGATCTCCCCCTTCGGCCCCATCTCCCCTCTCGGCCCTGGGGGCCCCATGACTCCTGGTTTCCCGGGCATCCCCGGCAAGCCCGGCTTCCCAATTCCTGGATATCCTTGCGGGCCCGGTTTTCCTTTGGCTCCTGGCACGCCATGACCCGGTAATCCTGGTGGTCCCGGTGGCCCTCTTGGTCCAGGCTCACCAGGGGGACCTTGCTCGCCCCTGAGACTGCGCACGGGCATTTCTGGGTGGAGAAGAGAAAGAAAGAGACAAGGTGATTGCAGCTGCCTCCTTCGAGACACGCAAAGGTGGGTTTGAACGGAACGAAGTCTCGGTTTTGTGGCTGGGGGGGGGGGGGACCAGCGAGTTACAGGTTGGTGTTTGGAACCAAGAGGACATCCCTGCTGTTCTGCATACCCCCAACTTGCGTGCATGTCTCTCTTTCCGTACATTCATTATTTTGCATCGTATTTGCTTTTTTTCACCATGCAAAAACCATTTGTGCTTTACTAGTGTTTTCCACCTCTACAATCTTGAGCAGTGAAATCCGCTTCTCGTCCCATGTTGCTGTAATTAACCTACTTTTAAGAGGTTTTGGAGGCCACAGAAGCCGCTCAGTGCTCTTGTGCTGTAGGAGGCAGAATAGGCTGTCCTGGCATAAAAGGGCTTTTGCTGGAGGGGCTTACCATAGCCAGATAATGGAAAAAGTTTGTATCGGTAAGAAGTTTATACCTAAGTATGACTGTTTTCACTGAGGCTTTGGCTCCCATTAGGATATTACTGGAAACCTACAGCCTTGCCCAGCGTTGCTAAGCTCCCGCAGGTTTTTGGCGTAGCCACGTCTAGTTAGAGCTCCTCTAAACCCTTCACAAAACGTTTTTCTCGTCTGAACCTACGTTTTTGTGTACGTGACCGCTTAGCGTTGCGGGTCAGGGCGAGGGAGTTGCCGCGTGGGAGCGGTTGTGCTGGGGCTGGTTGCTGTTCAAGCGGCAGGCTTTTTGTGTCAAGCAGAAAGTCTGCTCCTCGCTGGCTCCAGAATGGATGAAGAAGCGAGAGGTTTGGGGGAAGGGGAGAGATGAGGTTTCAGGGCAAGGGAATTAACTGTTCTTTGCGAGGCAGAAACCCTCCGTCTCTGCACATGTGTTTTACGCACGTAGAAAACCTCCTTTGCTCATGAGATGGGTTGGTTTTACTACAGCCGGCTGTGCTTGATCAGACACTCCAAGAACAGGCCCTGAAATCTTCCACTTCCCTCTGAAGCCAGTGGGGGCTGCGGTTACGCTGAACCCTCAGTGGGACAAACTGGCTCATCGGAAGTCGCACAGATGCTTGACGCTGCCTCAAGGGTTTTATGACACTGGGCGTTCCTTTGTATTTTGGACATTTTAAATTGTTTTCTTAAATATCCTAATGTTGTCCAAACGTCCTTACTGACTATCAGAAGGGCTCGGACATGCAGACTCGTGCCGTAATGCCCTGCACCTCCAGTGCCTCAGCCACTCCCTCAGCTAACGTACAGAAAGAGGACTGCAGAGACAGGAGAGCAAACCTCCAAAATCACGGGGTCTGGACAAACTCAGAAAAAAATGTGACATTCCTGTAAATTCCAAGCTTAGGGCTCCTAGCTCTTTGTGTCCAACCACTGCAGTGGGAGTGGGAGCACTTCCCGGCAGGACCCTGGCCCGTCTACCTGGGCCATCGTTTGGATCTCCATCGGAGGGTTCTGCAGGCGGGTGGGATGAGGAGGGCTCTCCCAGCCTCACGCAAAACCCAGCATGCGGCAGCCTGCTCCCCATCCCCGGGGCAGACGGTGCTGCGGGGCGCCCGGCCGGACCGTGCGGGCTGGCGAGGGGCGTGCCCAGCCTACCTTTCTCCTTCTTGGGGGCCATGTCCTTGCCGAGCAGGGGCATCTGCGGGACCTCCTTCATGTACTGAGGCAGGTGGGGGTACTCCTTCCCGTACTGCATGTGTGGCACCTCCTTGCCCATGTGCTGCATGGGTATGCCGTCCTTGCCCAGCGGCATGTGAGGTACTTGTTGTCCGAGGGGTTGGTACTGGGGCACCTGGGGTGGCAGCTGCTTGATCCCATAGTAGACGCCGCCTCGCGCAGAGCTCACCAGCTGCAGGTAGATGGTGACAGCCACCGCCAGCAGCTGCACAGGGAGGAGCAGCACGGCCATCGCCTGCGAAAAACACGGCAGAACCCACAGTTGGCAGGAAATGTTTTCTGGTGACATGTGTTTCCCTCTGGGGCTGACCTGCTCCTGTTCTCTGCAGCAAACCAGCCCTAAACCTCTGCAAACCAGCCCTGGTTTGCGTGTGGCCCGGCAGGACATCCTGCAGCAGGCCTGTTCCTGGTTTACTGGGGGCTCTTATCCCAACGGTGCTGTTGCAGCCCATGTCCTCCTACGCATCTGGTTTCATTCCACCCCGCACACCCCGGGCGGTGCCCTCTGTGGTGTCTCCATACAGGGGCCCGTTCCCTCCCATCCCCAAACTGCCGTTTGCCGCTTTCTCTTCGTGTTGGTGCCACGACACCAGATGTGGGGAGCTCTGCTGCCAGCTCCGGCACAGGGGGAGAGCAGGCAGGGGCACCTGGGGGTCTCTTTAACACTTGCTGCCCAGGGAAGCAAAAGTACCAACGCCCCTCCTGCTCCTGAACAACGAAGTTCAGTTTCTGCAGCCTCAATCTGTGCCTGGGGGTGTGCGGCTGCACCCAAGGTGTTTCCAGCACCGCTCCTGGCCAGGTCTCGTCCTGAGCTCAGCCTTCCCCCAGAAGAGCAGGGCTGTCTAGGCCATCGCTGCCTCTGAGCAGGATCAGCCAGCCCACACCCTTCTCCGGGGATGTTGGACTATTTTCTGAATACCTCCCAAATTCCAGACCCTCTCCCTTCTCCTCAGGCAGCCCGGCACCTCGCCAGCCCTGCTAACACAACAGAACAGGGCTGTTTGCTCCTTCTTTCTCTTCCTTACTGAAACAGAAGCTTGGCACTTCTCATCCCACCTGCTGTTGGCTTCCCTTTCGGCAGTGATGCAGTTACTAGCAGGTGAGCAGGCAGCTGGCAACCAGGAACTCCTTAAATGAGCACAAATTTGGGGGCAGCCTGAGGTAACAAGGAGACTCCTTGCGTGTTGCAGTTGGAATGTTTTGCTGTTTGTCCCGCGGCTGAGCACGGTAGGCAAGTTCCCTTCTTTGACGTGCACGTGGCAGTTGTCAGGCTCGATGCTGTCCCTGACTTCCAGCTTTTCCACAGCGCAAAGGTGCCCTGCACCAAGCTGAGCTGCTGGAAAAGCTGCCGCCAGACCGCTGCCAAACCGCTTGTCGGGACACGCTCCCCTCAGCTGTGGGGCCGCGCTGAGCCCAGGTGTGATGAGGGTGGCTGGGGGGGGCAGCGGGGGCTTTGCACCCTCTGCTTATGTTCCCGTCCTTCTCCCTCCGAAGCAAAGAGGCTCAGCATTGAGCCTGGTCCCCACTCGAGTCAAGCCTCTCGTGGGGCTGCAGCCTGGTCTCCCCTGCGCAGGGTGATGCCGCAGCATGCAGGATGACCCCCCCTCGCTTGAGGGGCAGTGTGACCTGAGGTGGGCTGCGACGGGGGTCTCAGGGGCCGCGAGATGTGGCTTTGGGCAGGTAATGCCGCTGCTGCAGAGCTGGGGGAAAGGGTGGCTGGGGCTGGGGGAAGGAAACGTATTTACCGAGGAGGGGGCAGTAAGCAGCTCCGCTTGCCTCCTCCAACACTGTGCTGTGGTCAGCGGGCCTCTCCAAAGGGCCTCGGAGTAACTGGGGAGGGTGGGACTTTGCAGTCCACCCAGGAGGGCCTTGTGCCGGTGGGCAGAGGGTGTGAGCAGGCTGCGGGGCGGCTGCGGGACTTCCCGAGCTGAGGGGGTAGGGCAGTGGCGCCACAGGCGCTGGAGTCAGGGCTCATGTTTTCCCCACTTGCTGCTCTACGGTTTGGCTCGAGCACCGGGAGGGCTGAGAAACTGCAGCTCTCACTGCTCGGTGCTGGGGGGCTGGTTACTGATGAGGTGTGTCATTTAGTTTTTATGTTTTACTCCTGCTCGGATTCTCCGTTCACTTTGCAGCAGCAAAGCACCCGGAGAAGTGCTCACTGCCCTCCTAAAACATTTCTCCTAGTTTTGCCCTATGAGATCTAATCTCTCAATGGAAATTAGTGCATCGGCATTACTCAAAGTGTAAGTGGAAGCTAAAGCAAATTGTGTAGCTAAAACAACCAGCAGAAGGTTAATGTTTTCAATAATGTACCTATAAATAGACAAACAAATTACGGAGAAGACAGAACTGTGTGTTAACAGCAAAACAAACCATTTAAGAAAATTAAGTATTGGTGAATAAACACTAGATGGAGCATATGTTGCACAGCTGAGCTCCTACAGTCACTTTTTCTCCCAGGAATTTAAGGTCTTGGATGTAACCAGCTGCCATGTGGCAAGGAAAACCAAGAGCCAAGATGTACAGGAGTTTGTTAAGTGTAGTTAAAGCCCGAGAGCCATTGCTCATCCTTGTTCAACAAAGCATTTCAGCAGACGCTTCATCTCCAGCAAGTTTGATGTGGCTTTCGGCCCGTGGCTGGCTGCTTTGCCAGGAGCTAGGGGATGAGGGCCGTGGGATGCAGCATTTCTGCTTAAAGCTCGATGGCATGGGACTGCGAGGACAGCCTGTGCGTGATCCCTTACCAGGGCTCAGCTGGGACGTGGGAACCTCTTAGTCTGCTGCAGCTTCATCTGGGCACGTGGACCCCGAATGACCCTTTTTTGGTGTGTGGGTTATTCCCACTCTGTCTCTGGTGGCCTTTCTGTTCCTTTCTGTACTGTAACGAGTGATTGGCTACAGCTTTGTCTCCCTGTTGTCCCTTAGGGTAATGCCTGCTTCCACCTGCAGCTAGAATCCCAGCTATTGGAAAATCTGTGGCTTTCTGGGCATGTCTCCCAAATGAAAAGCACTGCCCGTGTGAAGAGAGAAGTGCAGGGACACCTTTTAAAAAATATTAGAGGATACTGGATGATTTAGGAATGAAGAGCAGGGTGAGTTTTGAAAAATGAGGTTATTAAATTAGTTTCTGGGCTACTTTGTTGTTCTGGTGGCCAGTTTTGGGGGGTTTGTTTTTTTGAAAAGATAACTTCAGTGGCATAAGTGGAGAGGGAAATAGGTGAAATTCCTTCGGATGGGATTTTTCTCTGTTTTTATTACAAAATGCAGGCTTTGTGTGCGAGTGGCAGCTATCTGAAAGAATTGAAAAAAATTTTCCTGCGGGGAGACACGAGATTGCCTGCAGCCGAGGGGGAACTCAACCTCCCACTGCTTGTGCCGAGCTCCCTCGGCCCTGCCCGGCGTCACGCAAGGCACCTGCGGTTTGACACGCGTGACCACGTGAGATGGTTGTGTGCGCGCGTGCCTAGGGATTTTGAGGGAGATCAGGCAAGACTTACAGAGATAGGGATGCTCCAGAAAACGAGGTGATCTCGCTACATCTCTGTTTGCCTTAATTGGTTTTGACTCATCATAACCAGAATGGTGAGGCCTGGAGATGACAAACTGCTTGTATATTGATTTTGGCCGGTGCTGGTGCCTGTGCCCACCTGTGGTGGGAGGTGGGGGCTTATTTACTCCACAACCTTGGGCTTGATGGGACTGGGATGATGTTTTTGTGGAAGGAGGTCAGAGCGACCTCACATGAGCCGTCTGGGTCTTAGGATCTGCAGCAGGTTGCTGGGAATTAGCCTGTGGTCGGTGCCGGCTGTACAGCTCATCTCTCCCCCTGCTCCCAAAAGAAGGAGGGATTGGACAAAATCAGTCTGATGAGAAACGTGGTAGAGTCGTGTGTGCGACTGCTACTGCTCGCTGCCTCCCAGTAACGATGGGTCCGGCTGGAGCATCGTTGTAAGGCAAGCCTGCCCCGAAGCATGGGGGATGCCTGGGCTAGTCCTTCGGTGTTCCAGCTCTTTGCCTGTCTCATCCAACTCGGCTTCCCTGAGAAGTTACTTATGTAGTGAGAGGGAGCAGCTGAAGGCTGCCTGTTCTGCCCTGCAGTTTGTTTCTGAATGCCTGGCTGCACAGCTCTCGTCGTTTGAAGGCCTCGCTAGGCAACTACCAGCATCCTTAAATGCCTGAAAGCCCTCCAGGGGCTTGGAGGAAGCAAAATTTTACCATAACAGAATGTCTGGAGAAAGATGGAGGAGAAGCTACCGTGCCTGCGTAGCACGTCATTCTCCACCAGACCAGGCAGATTGAGACACAGTGAACGTGTTGCTTCACCGAGGGTGGGGTGAGGCACTCGAGGGCCAAGGGATGTTATCCTAAACCCCACTGTTCAGCTGCTAGTGTGTGAACGCGTGTGGTTAGCTCTGGGGGTGAGGGAGAGGCCCTGAAAAAACACAGTTTTACAGGCACAGCTCAAGTGAGAACATTTCTCAATAATCTCTTTGGTAGAGCTGTTCTCCTGAGAAAACTAGAAAGGACCTTCCTCTGGCTATTTGCGTTTGTCAGTAGAAGCTGGAGACAAAACAAAATGTACCAGCAGTCATAATTCTTAAATTGGTGTGAAGAAATAATGGCTGGTTTAGCCTAACTGTGTAAAGAATGTACGGAAAAGAGTGATGCACATCCACGTGGGACTTGAAATCATAGGTGGTCTTGCAAAGGGTGGAAGCCAGACCTTGATTTATTGGTTCTTAGAGGGAAGCGATCACTCTGCAACCAATTTTGGGGTTATCTGAAATTTACCCATATTGGTTCTTAGAGGGAAGCGATCACTCTGCAACCAATTTTGGGGTTATCTGAAATTTACCCATGTCTCAGAACCTCCAAGACGCTCTCCCAGACACTAGCCCTCTGGGCTTAATTTACCGCGCCTTGCTTGCGGGCTGCTCTGTTTCCCAACGAGGCACGAGGCATGAACAGATCGCAGTGGCCTGAGCTCTCCTGCCCTGGGGTCCCTTCCACGGGGGCTGCCTAAAGCTGCAGGGACCTGTTCCCCACTGCACCGAGGGGACGGACTTGCTAGCGCTCGGGTTTCCACATGGAAAAACACTGCTGCAAAACAGAATTCCTAGTGACCCTGGAGATGATGTGCCCAGAAGGGAGCTACTAAAAATATTTGGTGCTAAAAAGCTACATTCTCTAGGATTCTTCTGACCCGAGATCAGAAGCCGTTAGGAACAGAGC